AGGCGGAGGCCGGCCTGAAGGCAGCTCTGCTCTGCTGATGGCACTGAGACGCACCTTGTGCGGGAACCGCCGAGGAACAGGCGGCTTGGGGTTGGCAGTGTCACGAAGGGCTGACTTTGGTGGGCGCCGGTGCTTCCCCGGGGCCTGGTGACGCGGCCCGGTATCAGAGGGCCTTCCTTCTCGGACTAAACCGAGGACGCGAATGGGCCTTAAATGGGCGTTGTTCTTCCTGCTGGGTTTATCGGCCAGATGACCTTGACTTGGAGGGACCTGCGGCTTCTGCGTCGTCGTGTGGTGCACTGGAGAGTAGCTGCTGAATTAACCTGTGAAATTAGCGAGTTGGATTGCGGGAGGGAGGACCCCCTGCGTCCTTGTTGGCTTTCCTGTGGGGCGTGGCTTCAAGTCCAGCCCGGCCCAGTTCTCCCGGGCGGTGACGGGGACGCTGCCTTCGGGAAACTCCAGCGCGTGGGAGGGGCCGAGGGCGACCTTGTTTTCTGTCCCTGTTCTTGCAGGTCCGGTTTCCCACGATGCTGTTGAGTTCTCTGCTCTCTCTGGTCTCTTAGAAATCTATATTCTCTGGAGGAGAACTGAGGGTCTCCTGGGCAGCCTTACAGATTAGTAGTACCTGCGTTGTTCCGTGTTGCTGGCTGGAACAACCTCTTGTTTTTGTGACTGTAGATAAGTTTGAAGTCGACTGTCTTATTTATACATAGTAACTACATACTGCACAGCTCTAGTCCTCTAATACGTTGCCATAATGTTCAGTCACGTGAGGTCAACCAAGAGTCCGGCTGGGGATCTCCAATAATGGACAGAATGTGAAGTACAATTGGAAAAATACTGTTCGACACATTTGGCTCCAGGTGGTTCTTCTCAGGACTGACCGCCTGGCTGGCAGTAGTTGCATTTTCCGTTTTCAGTGCAGTAGCATAATCAGTGATGAGCACTAAGTAAACTAGTTGTGCTATCAAAAGTTTAGCTTAGTTTACTAAGTGGTTTGTGCGTAGTAGTGAATAGAAGAAAATCCTGTTACACCTGAAATGATATATTCTAATCGAATATTAATTAGAGTTGATCTTTCTTGACCAAGCTACTTGCATTCATGAAATAGGAGAGTAATCTCCAGAGATACTTTAAAGGGAAATCTAGACCGGTAATAAATCACTGATGTGATTCTGGGGTGTGTTTGGTATACTGTTGTTCAGCATGCAATGTGAATTTCAAAGCTAGCATCTTAAAAGTAGACATTAAAGCAGCATTTCCAGAATGAATGAAGTAGCTGGTAAGTATTGCTAAGAATCACCATGTAGTTCACTGGAATTGGTAAAATTTTTACCAACCATGACACAGTAAGCATAATTTGATTTGGTGGCCTTGTGGCCATCAAGCAACATAGGACAATTGTTAGAAGGCTTGATTTTGTTGGGCAAATGATAGGAAACTGGTGCTTAACCAACCACCCACAGACTAGAACTTGACATTTTAGTGCTTATAATGGGTTTTGGGTTCAGCCAGTTTTCCTGTGTGCCAGAAAGTGGCCAGATTGCACTTTTCTCACCCCTCAGCTAACAGACTCATAGGTAGATGTCCAATACTGGTCAAAATTCAGTGGGTGGTAATTAATGGATGAATCTATATAAAACAACTAGTGCTACTGGAAGTGATTAAAAATGAGGCTGGGAATTTTGATTTTTATGAAGCTCCTTTTCATTGTAATAAAGTCAGTGGGGGTACGGATTTGTTCTTAAGAATTTTTCAAAGCTACAAGTACATAGTCTCGATGGTTGAATATTGCATGCCTTCCTTAAAAATTGATCAAAGGTTTGGATATAGGTCAGTAACTTAATGGAAAACTGAAGGTCTGTGTGTGAGGTAGTAAGTATGTGTACATGTCAGTTAGTGTTTGCTTTTAATTTTGAACAAAGTTAAAGCAATTTCTGGAGTATATACAAGGACTTGTTATCTACTACAGATCTATAATGTTGAAGCCCAAATTGACTGTAACAAGTTAGATTCCCCCCATCCCCCCCTTAAAAGGCTACCCAGGGCTGGTATGACAGCTTCTACAATCAGGGACCATTCTCAATTTATAATCACTCTGGTCCTAGATGGCTTCTCTAGCTCCCTGATCACATCAGTCGGCTTCATAACCAACAGAAAGGGGAAAAAAGAATTGGGCATGTTCTTTCCTTTTGAAGATACTTCCATAAGTTCCATATTTTCTGCTTATATCCTATTGGGCAGGATTTAGTCACAGGTGACTAGAGGTAGCTGCAGGGAAGGCTGGGATGTTTTGGGTAACCATGTGTCCCACTTAGTTTTTGAGGTTCTATTTCTGAAGCAGACTGAGGCAACTGGCAAGCGGTCTTCTATTAGGGAGAAAAGTTAATCATAAGTAAAATGCCCTCTACTTCTGGACTGCATATTCTAAACTAGTTTGAACATAGGCCATCAAAAATCAGAATTAGAGGTAGTAGACAAAAGCCCTGAAGACTGATGCTGCATATGGTAACATGGTTGCTTTAAAGAACTTTGTTTTGAGGACAAAACTCAAATTTTAAGTATCCTAAAGATGCATGTGTAAAGTGATCATAATTGTAGGAAAGGCATATTCATATAGCTCACTAATATTTGGCTATATCTTTTAACAGACATGTCATGTTACCCAGAGAACTTTCCAAACAAGTACCCAAAACCCATCTGATGTCTGAAGAGGAGTGGAGGAGACTTGGTGTCCAACAGAGTCTAGGCTGGGTTCATTACATGATTCATGAGCCAGGTAAGTTTTGCTATTTAGGAAAGCATTTATTAAAATAGTAGGTTGTTGAATTTTTTTTCATAGTGACATGCAGTGATATCTCAAAGTAACTCTGATAAGTTTGACTTATTTTTGAATGACTTGATTCCTCCCTAGAGACAGTCCCAATTTTATGGTAAATAAAATACCACATGGTTGAAAATAATGCATTGTTCTAACTGCAAAAATAACTTATGAAGTAAAACCATACACTATTCTAACTAAGTAGGCCGTTTTGTTTTAAAATTTGTGTCATTATTAATAGTATCTTAAAGTGTTTTGCCATAAATATATTTGGAATTCTGGTATTTCCTCTCTGAAAACTAAGAACTGGAGTGTCCTAAAGTTCTGTGTATAGAAACTGATGCAATTTGAAGTGGTTTTGTTTTTTCCTTTAGACAATTGGTATCTACCACATTAAGATTAAATGAGATAACACAGTGAGTGAACTCAAAATTTGCTGCATATATTATATATACTTTTTGCATTTTTATGCTGTTATGTGGTATTTATTTTTCAGATACTAAATAGTAAACTAGACTAAGAAACCTTGTGCTGTTAAATTCTATTTTCAGGTAATCAATCTAACTTGAAAGATTTATATTGCTTTGAATAAAATTTGAAGGGATAGAAGCTGAATTAGGTGAAACTAAAGCTATCTTGCTTTCCACTTTTGTTAAAGCAAAGTAGCAGCAAAAATTCTTTCAACACATAACTTTTTTGGGATTGGAGCATGTAATTATATTAGAGTTCAGTCATTGTATTAGAGGTCAGAAGTTCTTTCTCCAGATAATACAAAACAACTGAGGAATTTAACCATAGGTTCCAGGTCTCCCCACCTACTGAAACAGAGTCTACAGGGCTGGGCCCCCTTGGACGGCCAGTTATTTTTGAATGAGGTGTTGTGTTTTCTCCACAAGAGATAACCTTTTCTTTTCACTGGAATTGAGATTCTGAAGATAGAAACCATTCTTCCTCTCAAGTGACTTCTTTACCATCCCTGTTCGTCAGTGTACGTAAAACTAACTGGGGGGGGTATTATCATTGTTACGTCTGTTTACTGTTGACAGCGACTTAGAAGCAAAATTTATGTCAGATACCTTGAGTAACATTTATTGACTATAGGGTTATTTTACTTCATTTTGCTTCAATTGAGAATTTTTTCCATTTTTGTTTAACGAATGAAAATTAACCATATTATATTAAAATAATATAAAACATTTTCTTTCCACAGAACCACACATTCTTCTCTTTAGACGACCTCTTCCAAAAGATCAACAAAAATGAAGTACATCTGGGAATCGTCAATTAAATCTTTTTCAAATTTAATGTATATGTGTATATAAGGTAGTATTCAGTGAATACTTGAAAAATGTACAAATTGTTCATCCATACCTGTGCATGAGCTGTATTCTTCACAGCAACAGAGCTCAGTTAAATGCAACTGCAAGTAGGTTACCGTAAGGTGTTTAAGATAAAATTTCTTGTCAGTTTTTCTCTTAATATAAGTGCCTGTTTGACTTTACTTGTTACTTTTGTTAAATAAAGTTTGTATGTTGCATTTATCAATGTTTGAAGTCATTGAGATTTGTTTTTGTTAAGGTTAATTTGTGATTATTGAAGTTATTGAATGGTTTCAGTTTTATGGATTTAGTCCTGAGGAAATAAATTCACTTTAAATAAAACTAAATGGGTTTAAACTTATTGCTTGGTGTGATGAGGGTACCATTTAAATTTGCTTATGAAGAAACTAAGAACTAAGGATAAGTTTAATAAAGCCAAAGTAGATTTTATAGCTGTCAATCTAGTTCCTAGAGAATTGTCTAGAATCTCCAATTGAACAAAAAGAAGCCCAACTTAATACTCTGGTGACTTCCACTTATCTAAGAACTGCCACATCTAGTAACCTTGGTAGAAACCACTTAACCCCAGTTCTCTTTTCCATGTGCTAAGATAAAGTTTTCTATAAAATATCACAGCATTTGAAAAAGTTCAAAAGCACTATAAACACCCTTTGTTCCATATGCATTTTGTATCTGTTAAATTGCTTTTTTTGTTGTTGCTAGGGAAATATTTTAGACTTAATGCAAACACAGGCTTTTTATCTTCATTGCTGTGCTGAAGAAACCTTTTAAATGAGCTGTCAATAAGCATAAGACCCCAGTTGGTGGTCCACTGTATGCCCTTCTCTTTAGAAAAGTGCCTTTACACAATGAGCAGAATAAATCCTGAAGGTGTTGGTGGGCAGCAGCCTAAGACTTACTCCCATCCCCAGGGACCTATCCGCTAGAGGACCAGGATTAAGCAACAGAAAGAAGCCAGAATTGCTAAGTAACTATTTAGCATAGACCACAGTACTGACAGGGAGGGATGGCATCCCCCCTTCAGTCTCCAGCACTGCTTAGACCCTAGGCCTCTTCCCCACTCTGGAGGTTTGGGTATATCCACGTATATTTAATTCACCTGTGGGCTCCACAAAGCAGGACTCCAGGAGATGCACTGAAGCTGCCTGCGTTTACAGCTTGGAATACCTGGCTGTCACTCAACAGAGAAGTCTACAATTACCTCCCAGTTAAGGATTTTTCAACCTAATTAACCCCTTTGGTCACACTACTTGGCACTGCAGGCAAACCTCAAATATGCCTGCAGTTTCCTCCGAGCAAGCAAGAGTTCTTGGCTCTTTGCTCTGCCGCCCAACCCCCGCGCCGCCGGTCTCCCGGGCACTGCCGCCCATTTCCCACCCCACCTAACGCCTCCTGCCCTGTGGACTGCGTTCTTCGTCCTACTGTCCCATCTCCGCCTTTCCCAGCACACTTCCTAATGGTCAACAGCCCTCTGTTGAACTGAGCAGTTTCGAAATTCTGTGGTTACTTCTAAACTGCTGTAGGTTCCTGGAAGTTCTAAGACGCCAAACGTGTTGGCTTTCTCCCTTTACAGGCCTACAAGGCATACGGGACCCCTACCCCGCTCCAGATGCGCCGACTCCTCGTCTAGGCCGGCTGACCGCATCCCGGAGGGTGTCGCTGCCTCCGCCTAGACGGTCGGCTGTAACTCCGTGCTTGGCACAGACCAGGCTACGGCGGCCCATAAGGTCACCCCACCGGCCTCCTCGCGCAGGCCCAGAGCCGCTGCCGCGCGCACTTCCGGCCGGAAGCAGGGTGGGCCGGGGCGCGTTTTTGTGACGCACTTCCAGGCGTCTCCTCCGAAAGCGGAAAAAGCAGGGAGGAGGAGCGTCGCGCCTGGGTCCAGCCGGCCGACGGGGCGGCTGCTGGCCTCGGCCCGGCCTGCCCCCAGCCGCCCGCCATGGCGTCGGAGGGGCC